CTATATAAAACCAATCAATCGATATATCTATGGGTATCATCCTGTATGAGAAGTGAACCATCAGCTCTAAAACATAAATCTGGTTCCCACTTTGAATTTGAACAATGAATGTTTTTAAATACTTTTGTCTGCATTTATTGTCTGCATTTTTTTATTGGGCAAAAAACAAATGCACAGTCAAATTTAAGAATAGAGCCGCAGTCACACAGGCTGTATTTGGAAATACAGGAATGAAGACGAGTGGCATTGGCCGGATTTGAATTCAGGACTTCAAAAAAGAGACAATAATTACTTGATCACAGTTGCCTGCATCCGACAGTCGCGTGAAAACCGTATCTCATCGGACCAAATGTTGTTCGATATATTGCTTCAAAGAGCTCGTTCAGGAGCCGTTGAATGTCCTCCTTTGTCATAAACAACGGCGTGGTGGTGCTAGCCAGACAAGTCATGGTTTCGCTGATGTTAGAGTAAAGAAACAGATCATGCGAATTCAAATTCAAATTTTTATTATGAGTAAATTTCAAAGCGAATGCTTATTGAATCCCATAAGATATATAAACACTGGGTTCGATTGGTAGTACAATCAAATAGCAAATTCTGACGTTCGCTCATGGGTACTGAACATCTAGGGATGTTTCAATGCTTCATCGAGCCGTGAAGTGAATGAATCGATGGTTGATGCACAGAAAACTTGAGGTGGAAGAGATTTTTAGGTATCACAAACTCTGAAGCTGGAAGAATGACGCCTGCAGTCTAGCTGACTCTTTTGGAGCAGAAGTTTAAACGAATTTCCTCAGAGGTGACCATTCCTGGATAGTGTTAGTAGAGTACTACACAGGTGGTTAGGTTAATGTAATATTTGATATACGAGGATAATATCTCCGGTATTCGACGATACTCAGACGAATACAGTCCGAGAATTCGCAGCCTTTCACCGTAGGTCTTAGCTTGTGACCATTTGACCAGTTTGGTTGCTGTTCTCTGCGGACGTTCGAGTGTCTTTTGGTGGCGAATCAGCCATGGATTCCAAGTCTGTATAGCAAACTCGATTTGTGGTCGAATATATGCTGATAACAAACGTGGCAATAGGTCTGCTTCGAATGATCCAAAAACATGTTTTAGTAATCCAACGTGTTTTATGGCCTTTGATGACGCTCTTGTGCAATGTGTGGAACATTCTAGATCCTCACGAACAATAACTCCTAGGTCCTTTTCGTTTGGAGAACTCGGTAATGGCTGAGTTACGAGTATGGAAAACGACTCCTTTGGCGCAGCGATGCAACCTTGCATTATCCAACGTTGAATTCGATGTCATTAATAATGATAAGCTTCGTCGAGAGTTTCCTGCAAGATTTCATCATTTTCAGAATATTTTACCGTCTCCCATATGCAAAACATGACACACAAGGTAGTGGGGCGGTGTTCTAAAACCGCAATCCATTGGTAGCCGTTGTCCAGTTCATCGGACCATACGCTATTTGGACGGGGTCAAACTTCCAAGATGCCTAATACACCTCAATGCCCGATTGAGCCGGTGACCACCGCCACAACCGGGGAGGAGTGTGTGTGTGTGTGTGATTCCTACGCTTCCTCATGGTTGATTTGGAATCGGGGTTTTTGGCCAACTCCCTTAGGTGAACTACCAGTGGTCCATTAACCCGTTTGTGGCCCCAGATGTCCGCGTTTTATCCTCTCACTTTGGTGGGAAAACACCTCCGCCACGAGAAGACAATGAGTAGGGCTTTCTCAGTAGAAAATGTTTGAGACGCTTGGTCGTATGCGAGTATTTGGGGCATTTGGAATACTCCGATCATTTTGGTGCTGAATAATTTAGTTTCCCCTGGGAGAACGAAGGTTCAAATGGAAGCTAGTTAAAGGAAAATCTATTTCATTCATGGTTTGCTCAGTGCACATAGGTTTAGAAACCAAATTATTTGTGATCGATTCTGAACAAAATTTCAAAACACAGTGAATCATAAGATATTGATGAGCGAAGGGATTGAATTTGAAACTCCTCATCACAGTCTACTTTACCCCGGGGCCGTCGTTGAATCACAGCGGTCCCTTACGGAAACTTTTATTGTGCACATTGACAATAAATCAATAAATCAATAAATCAAAAGGAAGTGAAAAAACATACACTTTCTATTTGGGTCCTTGGTGTTTAAGTTAAGTAAGTCATATAGACTGGCACACAAGATTCCTATCTGGGAATTCGGAGTATTCAGAAGTGTCAAAGAAAAGTATGTGGCTCAATTTTTGTGGTCATGCAAACGCCCACGGGTTAAACAGAGCTGAATGCTACCAGGCGCGTCCCCGGGTTGTGGATAGAGGGATACCTTCGTCGAAGAAGCTTAGCTGTGAATAATTTGTGGCACACGGCAACCAAAAAGGCAGTCTCGAACAAACAACGGTGGCACTACCGAGTTGTGGTGGGTTTCAGGCTGATCACGTAGCTCGTGTTTAAAAGCGGCATAAGCACAATGACGGTGTCGCGGCAAACGTCGATGTGACTGACGTTTTAAAACTAACGTCATTGGCCCCCTCACTTCCAAAGTGAGGGATTACTTCCAGCTGTCTTGCCGTTCGCACTTGGTTGTGCAAAGACTAGAGGTGCGCTCTCAAAATAAAAAACACCGAATGAGGCTGGGGACTCCCAATGAACTTCATGATCATGATCTTGATCATGTCTGGGGCCGGTTTATCCTTTCCAACGAGCCAGTCGCAGTAAAGTAAGTGAAGTTATTGTCATAAAATTGGGGCACAGTGTTCAAACAGATCATGATACAGTTTTGTTGCATTTTTATGGAGAGAGAAAAACCGTAGTAAAATGAATAAAGTAAGGTGATGTGAGTGAAAAACCACCTACCTAATTCGACTGGTTGTCTGCTAACACAAATCATACAAACTAAACAGACTTATCTTTCTCCTCGGTAAACGGTCCATCGATGTGTCACGTGTGTTCGGAACAGTGAAGTTTCTAGTGTCTAATCGATATCACTCGGTCAAATAGATTTCTCTTTTCGCAAACAATCGTGGCGAATCGGAGATTGCCACAATTGAAGACGTTACACCAACAGATCAAGAAAAGAGAAAGTTGTTGCCGTTCAAGTTATTCCACTTGATTTGTTACTATCAAAGAATTTCCACACACAGATAATACTGGACATTGTGCGTTTTGGTTTCAAATCCGCTGATGACGTTTGGGGAAACGATTCGTTTGGATTCAGGTTTTGCGCGTGAAGTGCTTTTCGGTAACTCAACAACGAAAGATTTTGAAATCACTGCACAGCGAGTTCATTCTCTGAATGGTACGTCTACCTCATCAGTATCACATTTTCAGCGAGTCAACTTGAATTAGGTCTTCAATTGTACCAGAATCATAAATAATAGGCCAGCTCATTGTTACAATCAAACCTCTCTGTAGTTTGAGGAGTGATATGGGTTGATTTGATCGGCTCTGTAGGGTCGTTATCAAACTCCGTTACCGGCACCTTGTCCATGTTAACATGGTGATAAAATCCGTCTCTGTTATACCCCCGGGGTAGGTAAAGTGGAGTGAACGAGACGACATGGGCACAGTGTCTGAACGAGCGTGTAGAGACTCGACCGTTTTTTCAGAGTTTTTCTAACCACTTTTGGATTAACCGTGTTGTTCACTGGCGAATTGCAGTAAGTAAGCTGAATAGACTGAGTTTTCAGTCTTTTTTTAGAAAATAGGCAAATGCTTGATTTCACTACTTCGCAAACATTAGAACAACTTAATTTTCTTTGTCACGCATCTCTGAGTGATGCGTAGTGGAAGACGTGAAATCTTAATTCACTCTCATTGACGAGTTATGTAATGCTTTCATATTACAGGTAAAGTAACGACTGCAGTTTTCTAGCAATCAAACTGGACCAGTTTGGTTGGGTTTAAACCTAGGAACGTGCCCGATAGCAAATCAGTGTTAGCAACATAAGTCGCGTAACCACCACCATCATCACCACCACCACCGTGAACAACAACAACACCCCTGTGGGAATAAAATATATAGTTTGTAATCCGGGGTTGGCTTTAGGGATAAGACGCTTGCACATGATCAGTGAGTAGTATTCAAACTCTTTTGGTCAGATAAATTCAGCCATTAGAGAACTACCTAGCGAGCGTAAGAGAGAAACATTTCATCCTCTATTCGTGGAAACATCTCACTTAGTACGTTAGTTGTTGTCGTTGTTGTTATTGTCGTTGTTGTTGTTGTGCGAATGCTGATAATTTTCTTTTCACTGAAAAAAATGAGTATCCACCTTTGACCAGAGTTGGCGACCACAATAAAACTTCCTCAAATTGGTTTGCGCTCCAACAGATCAAAGTCCGCAATTTCCTTGCACTAACATGCAAACTTAATTCTGGACGAGGTGTGTTTGAACATGGTTTAAAAAAAAACAATCATCAACCGAACACGGGTAAACATTGCTGTCGTGACTGACGGTTGTTTCCATTCCATGCCTGACCACACACAGTAATTCGCATCCTCCCTGTAGAGTGTCCGTCGGGTGGCCGTTATCTCATAGAACTCGATGCAGATACGCGTAATGAGAAGAAATTTACGGGTTGCGTGGTAAGCGATAACACTGGGTATTCACTAACGCAGATGGTGGTAAGTCATGTGACCCGACGTGGTCACGTGCGAAACGCGAATGAAAGAGGAACTGGTGCAGGTGACGGGAATAACAGTGAGGGAAGACGGTATCCGAATCAAATCGATGATTCATTTACTAAGGTGATACAATTTCTTGATGTAAATTAAAGCATAATTTTGTCGTTTCAAAGAAAATTTCAATGAAGAAGGAAATCAGCATTTAAGAACTAGAAGTATCGTTTGATTTGAAACAGCCTTTCTGGATAAACACTAAATGAAAATTTATCCGAACGCTATTCAGGTGACGAATAAGTTTCACGGATTTGAAAGCAACGCAGCTCAAAGGTAAAACCGACAACTGCAAGAGACGCGCATATATTACAGATGCTCTTTAGTATCGTCGGAAGTGGATGCTTGAGGTTGTGGCTGGTCACCCTTCTCTTTGATCCCGTAAAATGCCTCCATACGCTCAAGCCTCTCAAGCAGCTTCTGCCGAGGAGACTTCATTCGCTGCCCCTGTGTCGGAGGTGTTTTCCCTACCAAGGAGAGTGAACAAAAACCAACATTTTGGGCCATAACCGATTTGATGAACCACTGGCAGTTCACCAAGGGCAGTCAGCTAAACAAACCGCATTAGCCCACACCTTCGTGATTGTAGTAGTGTTTGCCAGTTCGATTGGGCATTGAGGTTTAATGGGCAACCGTACAAAGGTGTACGATCCTATGTACTGAACACCAGTGGAGGTATACAAAATATATGTATATGGTTTGTTAGTCGAATGCACAACCGCTGACTCTCCTTAGGAAGCAGTTTATTTTGTTGACCGAACTAGGGTTAGTTACGGAAGATTTTATCCTTGAGAAATATAAGCTAACGGTAAGCCGAAGAATCAACTCATCGCTGTTCCGAGACGATGGAAGTTATGTGACTCGCTATATGCTTTCAGCACATCCCGATTGCTTTGCAATTTCTCACAAGTCGGTATGAGCAGAATCATCAACTCTGATTTGTGTGTGTGTGTGTGTTGATATCTCCGTGTGTAATATCACTTAGGTATATCACTGAAAACTTTGATATGGTGTAATCGATTTGACCCCCGAATGAAGCAGAACCCCTTTAGCACAGCTGAAGCTGAATCAAGTCGATACATACTTTACATATCATTGTGGATGAATAAATGAGTACTCAGGGTTTGTTTCACAATTTGCAGTGTAATCAGACAACAAGGAGAAGCTTAAAAGTAAAAGTAAAATCAAATGTGAAAGGATAGAGGGGGGAGGCGGTCATAGGTTAATAATATTTGGATTGTTTGGTTCACTATATGGTGCACACACACACAAAACTAGGAATAGTGCATTTCTATGTGATGCAAATATTTGTGCTGACCGAAACAAAGAGCACCGGACAGCTGTTTCGTCCTGTTTTGGACTCGTTTGCAGTGCGTGTACTGTTTCGTGTGTCCTCGTGCCAGGACTCGGACCATGAACTTCCGGGCAAGAGACTTCAAAGCCTTACACCGGAGCAGCTGGTACACAGTCGACGCACGGTCATCACGTTTTGTGAATGACTCAGTAAATTTTTATCCAAGTTTGCTTCTCTAAACCAAGTGAATAGTGCTGTTATGTTATACGGAGAAGCCAGATTTTATATTCAAATGGATATATCCACGTAATGTAGACCAACTCCAAAGGTCAATCACGCAGTCATGGAAAGCAACAAGTGAAAAAGGAGCGATGTGTGGGAATCCACTAAAAAGATGGTCAGCATAGTTGGATTTGTTTGAGCAAACGAGACTAGGAAGATCATTAGCGTGCATAGGGAGTGATAAAGAATGGAAACAGAAAGTCTCCTTGAATTTTAACAGAGTAATTGATCGGGAGAAGCAAAGAAGTTTTCACATCGGTGAATATCAATGAGGATTCAGTTTGATTGAACCGAAGCACTTCATGGCAATCAAATAGAACAAATGCTGTGTAACAGAACCGAAAAGTACGACTCTTTGTTAAATATATATGTATACAGGTGTTGATCAAACTCGTACAACATCATTCCCATTTTGGAAATACATTTCAGTCTTCAATATTATACTTGTATATTGATCGCTATGGGTAAATTGTATTTAGTCCGGATTTTATCTCACACATCTATGTTTTTAGTTCACTCCTAGCACTGTTTGAATTTGTGTGACCTTGAGAGTTGTAATGAAATTTGTAGTAGTTCGAAAGTTACAGCTGAGATTTTGAAAATATTTCACTCAAAGCATCATGGAACTTCATTCTTTTTAATTAATCATTCCGGTTCCGTGAGATTGTTTACTAATTTGAGCTTACGTATTCTAAATTGCTCGTCTCTTTTCATTCAATACACAGCAAATAAACAAATTAATGAAAACATTCCAACTTAAATAAATTGATAACTTATTTGGCAATAAACTGCTTACACATTATCCACAATACTGAAAGAACTGAAAACACAGTCAAAGAAACACACAAGTTGATCTTCGAAAATTGACCTTGAGGTGTGCGGCTCGTTCAATAGGCGTTTTACTGTGTCACCATACCCAAACCGGATGAAACATTCAAAAGGTTTTGACATCCGATTGAAGCCTAAAGGCAATGTAATCGAGAGGCGCATAAATCCGATGACTCAGTTGGTGTCTTGGGATAAGTTAACTACCTCGACATTGGTCGTCAGTGATAAGCGTTTGCGGTGTATTTAAGGAAACTTGCAAATTCTGTTTGGCAGTCAAATTGGTGGACTCTATGCTAAAGCGACTGCCTCCAGTACTCAAAAAATGAAGAAGAGCAAATGGAACATGGACGATATGAAAGTGCAATGCCTGTATGAAATCTATGAGTCATTTTGATAAATAAATTCTAGTTACTTTTTCTATTGCAAATTTATTATTTTCACAAATAATGCACAAGCGACCATCGTCAAAATCGTACATTTTAATGGCATATGGCTAATAAAACCAAAGACATGTTGCGTGTGATGTGGGGCAATATCATATTCAATCCCGTGAATGAGGCTGGAAGAACGGAGCATTGAGAGGAACAAATGTGATGAAAATCAGGATTTTGCACGAGTTTGGTCATATTTACATCCATACATATATATATATATATATCAATATGTATGTATATACAGCATACACAGACTTACCTTGGCCACACCAGCAGCTATCACACCGACTCCAACCTCGGACACCAATTTGACACTAACCAATGCGAGTGGATTCGCCGCTTTCAAATCGTAAATGAGCTATAATTGGGAAAAATGGAACAAGTATATACATATGTATATATAAAAAAAAGGAATTAAAGTTCTGTAATCGTTTTTTTTTCTCAGTAAAAGTCACATGATTCCGAATAGTTGGATTCCCCCCACCAGCCACCCAAGCTTATCCGAACTAACACCGGGGCTGATGAGATAACATCCTGGAAATAAACAAACAACAAAGAAAAACTCTTTTCCCGTTGTCTTCGTCAAACGCAATTATTGCATTGGGCAGCCAGTAGTATTTCTTAAACACTATTGAGTTCTCATAGGAATATAGAAGATTGGAAAATTATCGTTGAGTTGCTATAGTACCACGAGCAAAAAGTTGTACAACAGTTATGTTTCTTTGACGTGATTTCTTGTTGTTGTTGTTCCTGTTGTAGTAGTAGTATTTGTGGCATTCATTCTTGAAAAAGAAAGCCACTTCAATCAATGGATTACAGGTCTAATAGAAACTGAAGCCACCGGGTCTATGCAAAACATTTGAGGGGTTCGTATAAACAACAGCATATATACAGTGAAGTAATTTTCTCCCAAATAATAATAAACAAGCCTTGGTCAGTCTTTATAGCAGCGATTTTCGTGATTCCCTTATACTCAGCAGATCGAATGGTTCAGAATGTAGCGGATAATCCCAATTTCGTCATTAGTGATTGGTCTAGACCATGATGAGTTAAGAGCTTACTAAAGAGAATCAACATTTTATTCACAACAAACTAACATTGATAATAATTAAGATGTAAAGTTTGTGTTCACTGATAGTCGATTGGTCTGCTTTTGTTCTTTTGGACTTTTTCGAGTCTCTTCGGCATCGAATCCGCCAACTTTGTTATCAAGTCCATATCTAAAACATTGATATAGATGATAAACACAATGAAACTCAAGTTGATTATAAAGAAAATATTTTGGTGCATCACAGTCGGCTAGTACTGTGTTCGTCTTGGCATGTACGAAACACGTTGCACCAGACTGTGGGTCACAACAGTTAGTAAGTAATTAAAATGCGATGAAAATGTTTGTGATAACCTACGAAAAGCACTGGACAGCTGTTTCGTTCTGTTTGGGGCTCGTCAACAATACATACTTTTTGTCTCCCTGTCAGGTAGGATTGCAACCGCACTCCTTCGGGTTGGAACTTCAAACCCTTAACCTTGAGCTACACGGTCGACGGATATCAGCTTGTGCGAATGGCTCAATCAATTTAGATGGTGAATGTTCGGATTAGCCCATTCGGTTCTTCACAGGCACCAGGCACTGTTGATGATGTTAGTTGTGGGTTTCACGCCCGAATAATCGCGGTTCGAGTCCTGACAAGGACATAGAAAGTAAATACTGCTGACGAGTCCAAACAGGACGAAACAACTGTCCAGTGCTCTTTGTTGGTTATCACAAACATTATCATCGTATTTCAATGCATACAAACAGTTGATAATCAACGATCTCCCAAGGAGTGAAAACCACACCGAACATCATCATCAACAGTGCCTGGTGCCTGTGAAGAACCAAATGGGTTAATCCAAACATTGACTATCTAAATGCATCTGGTTCATTGATAGAACGACAACGTAATTGCTGTGACTCGAACCGGGCTCCAACGTAAGAGGACATCATTGCGTTTTGGGATCAACTTGAACCGTAGATCATTCGGAGATGATACTTTGCTCTCTCATACTTACCTCAAGCCAATTCTAATTGATTCGCAAAAACTATGTTCAAACATTTCGTTTATCCCGGTTCACCATACAAAAAAGTGGTGGTAAGCATTCGGCCCGGAATAGAATGAATGCTTTTCAAAATCGATCATCACAGACTATGGGCAAACTCCTCATGACCCAAATCACAAGTGCAACCACTATTGATGTGCTTAGCCTGGAATCAGTCGTGTCCGTTGATCAAATAGTCCGTTCCACTCGGGAATTGTAGATCGTTTATACATCTTCGTCTTGCACTCGTCAAACAGAAAGATATAGGGCATTCATGCCTTCGAATCGTCTCAAGTTTATCCTAAAACGAGACACACGTTTCTGAATAGATATAAACGTGTACTTGTATAGTTATCATAAACAGGATTACAATTCACAGATTATGCATATAACTGGGACGACGAGTTTTAAATCAAACATAGTAAAATTAAATGCTTGATCGCCCCGATCCTTGGAGAAATTTCTAACCTCGTCTCAGAAAGCAGCATCTGGTATGATCATTTTTGATGTGAACTGAATTCACATTAGGCGAACCGTAACGCGTGTGAGAGAAATATCGCATCATGCTTCACAGACGCTTACAACTTCCAACCAGTTTATTTTTTCACAAACTCAATTTGCAACCCGGATGTGCTGCTGCTGCTGCTGCTGCTCGGTCGATCAGATTCAGTTGAGAAATTCAATCTGAATTTGGCAGAACTACTTAGCGCTGATTGTGTTCGGAACTTGACAACCGTGTCCGGAACAAGCCCGCCAGGGAGCGAGAGAGAGGCAATCAGTTCTATTCAACCTGGATGACAAGCTGTTTGTGCTTTAATTAAACTATCGACGTGTGACGGCCTTCCGTTTTGAGTATGGGGGGGAGCGGTTTGTGTGTGTGTGTCTGTATGTGTGTATCTGTGTGTGTGCGTGTGTCTGTATGTGTGTACACGCTCCATTCCATTCCATCCACGGAATCGGAAATGCTTAATAATTTCTTATGGGAACAACAACTACAACAACAACAAGAACAACAACAGCAGCAGTCATATCACAACAACAACAACCTTTGCGGGAAACAATCAAGCAATCGGTGAAACGCAGACCGATTGAATTATGCAAAACAAAGGAAAAGCAAATGAAACGCTTCCGTGGCATATATGAACGGTCGGAGTAATGCAAGTGAACGCGAGGACTCCGCGAAACCCGACTAAAGATGCGATCAATCGAGGTTGGGGCGCATGTATTTTTAATTAATTCCTAACTGATGGGCAGTAGATGAACCGAAACATCAGTTAACCAGGTCACTCGGTCAGTGTGAATGGATTTTTCTTGTCTAATGTGAAATCTCATATTGTCCTACTACTCCTGCTACACTTCATTCTCGCAATCATTGCTAAGCTTACGCACGCACGCACGCACGCACATACACATACACACGCACACGTCGAAAGTGCCTGCCTGACAAGCAGAATCACGACGATCAGTATTGGGACGAAAATAGATCAACATGAGAAAGGTTTTTTGTTTTTAGGCAAATGAAGAAATCACATCGGTCAATGAAATTGGGATGAATAATCTACCCAAAAGATGAGAACGGGTTTCTATAGGGAAATACAAAGGGATTTCTAGGAGGGTTAATTCAGAATGAGCAAAGAATTCTACGAATCTCTTCACATGGCTGACAAAACCCGGCTACAGATTCACCAATCGTTCGCTTCCGGTGAACAAACGGGATACGTTCGGCAGTTGAACGAAACTTCAAGCTATCGACAGACGTTGCACTGCTTGAGGTGTGCCAATGGCACTCTTGGGTGATAGTACACACGAGTACATTCGTCTCCACCCAAGCGTTGCAAATGCACACGGCTTGAATCGTAAGCAAACAAACATTCCAAACAACTACAGATTCAGTAATCACTAGGTTTGACTGAATAACAGTATGACTTAATTCAATTCAGTTGGAATTATTTCAGCAAAGCATACAATGAATGGTATCCAATTGACCTCAATTTAGTCATGAGCGTGATCTAAACCAATCGGGGAATTCTCATATAAAGTAGTGAAAATCGGTTCTCGCAGCTCGACTCGGTTCGTCGTTAAACCGCTGCGAGGGGTGAAGGTCGATTGTCGTTTCGTCCTAATTACGGTTTCCGTCCGTTCTCAGGTCACGGTGCGACCTTTTCCGATGCGTCATCTGATTCTTGAGTTGCATTGGCATATACAAGTGATCCAGCTCGCTGTGCCTGTTTATGGAATTGTTTGAAAAGTGCTAAGCCTCGAGAAATTCTCTGGCTTGCTTTGACCGGGCTTAGTCGATAATTTTCACTGATTCGAAGTCAAGCTGATGTCCTCCTTGATGTTCGTGAAGGGAAATCATCGATGGTGAGTCATGTCTCCTGACTGCCGCGTGGTGTTCACGGATCCTTGTTGACAGTTTTCTTCCAGTTTGTCCGATATAGTGTTTTGAACAGTTCTTGCAATTTATTTTGTAGATAACACTGCTCTCGTACTTCTCCATTGTTCTCTCCTTTGGTTTTGACAGAAGTCTCCTTAGACGGGGGATCGGTTTGTGGATGACATGGATTCCATATGATCTGAGCAGCCTTGTTGTCATCTCTGAAACATCCTTAATGTATGGTAGGGTTTTTCTTGTTCCCGATTCTTCGTCTGTTGTTTCTTTCTTTTTTCTTTGAATCATACCGAAGCCGCAATCTCAGGGCGGAAGAACAACTCTCTGCCCTTCCACCCTCACTTCCACCAACCAGTTCAACGGCGAACCGAGTCGAGCACAGTGAGAACAAGGGACAACAACTGGTCGGTGGAGAAGAACACAGGATAAGCGAACGAACACAAGCACAGCACTACCACTTCACAAGCACTGCTTATATCGCCTCACGGGCTGGTGATGAAACGTTTGCAAACAGATTGCCAATTGCTCGGCGAACAGGCGAAATGGAATTCTCATATAAATATACCGGATTGTTTCACGGGCCAGTGACAATCGAACTTGGAGTCACGTGATCCAAGTATAGCCAAGGATATTCTTGCGGGTATGATGTAAAGTTTCTGATGAAAATAGAATGTATACACATTAAAAGAAAATGTGTGAAAACCGGGAATGATATTGTTAACGGTGACGAGGCGTCGAGAAGCCGATTATCCAACGTCAGTCAATGATTAAAAGACCAGATTGGTGTAATAGGATATTCCATTTCCGGTTTTATTTTTGGCGAGTCAAATACATCTATATTCACTTCCTCTACCCGTTCAATTCTGGAAGTGTATGACGTTGTTATTGTTCACTTTGTGAGCTTTATTCACTCATTGACTTATTGAATGTGCACGTGTGTGATACTAATTTCATATAGATCGATAATGATCATACAAATAGAACGGAACACGGTCCAAGTTGTGCTTACTTGTGATAGATCCTCGATAGAATAGATATCGTGATGTGGTGGAGGGCTGATCAAACCGACTCCAGGCACTGAAAACCGAGTTCTGGCTATTTCTTCTGTGACTTTGTATCCGGGCAATTCTCCACCTTCACCGGGTTTCGCTCCTTGAGCCATTTTGATCTGCAACATATCCGCATGAGCCAAATACGAACTAGTCACACCGAATCGGGCCGAAGCCACCTGAATATTCGACGAGTGGGGAGAAAGGGAGAATGAATGGTGCAGAGCGTGAATTTAAGCTTTCGTTTCCAAATGATGACTGAAATCACCGGTCAAGACATCTGTACCCTCATGCCGAATCAAATTCTAATTTCCTGAACTTTCTTCCGGCCAAAAATTGCTCGTTGCACAAAGCTCATTACATGTGTAACGCATGTTTCAGTCACCTCGAACTCTAAACAACTGAGTGATTTCTCCGGGATAAGAAAAAGAGTTTTAGATCAAACTCGGAGGTACTAACACTACACAGATTCTGTTTGAACAATTTTAGTCCCATTGGCTATAATCAGTGCCCTTGAGATTGTTTCAATTACCACTGATCAGAATGGAGCAATAGCCGTTACGTGAATCCGCTCTATCCAACTCAAACGTACCAGAGGAGTATCAAATGATTTAAATCATGGACCGATGGAACTTCGTCAAACTGAGAAAGAGAGGGAGAATAAAGCTCGTAATTCACAACTGCCTGGCATTGCGAACGGTATTGTATAATTGGGCTAATTGAACACGTGTTTTTTTTGTACCACAAGCCCCTGGGTTCTATTCGGATATGGGTCGGTTATTGTGCATCACAGTTGATGCAAATATCCTATCCGGTCAAGTTTTTCGCATTATGGAATTCAGTATCTTTCATGTGATTATTGGAGGATTTTATTCAATTTCAAAAATGAATTCGTCGTGAATCAAATCCTTCATTACTCACATGAAAGAACTAGTCCGGTTGTGAATGTTTCCAACCAAGTCATAACCCCAGAGGCTAGTGCTGAGATGAGCAGGGTCTGTGGTCTGTAATAAGCTCGCAAAGATGGATTGTGCAATATCGTGTATAAGAAAAATGAAAAAATGATCTGATCAGCTGCCTGGTGGCCTAGTGGGTAGCACGGTTGCGTTCTGTCCATGAGGTCCCGGGTTCAATCCCCAGTTGAGTCAATGGATTCGCTCTGGTGCTGATGAGATCCAACCAGATCAAAACAGCTGTATAGTGTGTTTCCTAACTTTTCAGTTCACGCTTCATTTGCCAAGTAGACGACAAATTCACCTTTGGAATTCAATATCCTTGTGCGTGCGTGTGTGTGTGTGTGTGGTCTGGCATGGCGTGCAATGTGTACATGTATTACAAGACCATTTTCCCCTGAAATCAACCACAGTGACAACATGGGCAACAGGATATGAAATCAATCATAATACCAAAATTTTGTTGAAGTTCCACGTGAATAGTCGGATCGATAGATAAGGAAAAATGAATTAACTGTGAGAAAATATTCATTCCAGTTTATGCGATCGATCTGGCTGATGTGGAGTTGATGTTCTGTAGTGATCGATCCGAATTAAGCTTTCACGCAATCAGCATAGGTTAGGAAAGTGATGAGCCATAGTTTTATGACACTGCAGATAATAAACTGGTGATGGTAACAAGCAACATGATGTTTTGACATGACCATTCAGGCAAACACTGCACGAGCGCGCGCGCGCAAACAGACAGAGGAAGTTCCGCTACTCGCACAATGTACTATGAACGTCACAAGATAGGAAGACATGGTGAGAATTTATCAATCATTTCGATTGATAAGGACACATGTGTGTGTGGGTCGGAGGGTGTTGAGTGGTCTGCATTCTTCCTGTTCCAACGAAAGACAAAGAAACAAATACAGAAACAAGGCGATGGCAGAAATTGAGTAGTACCCAGTTACCTGTTTAATGGATGATCGCAATTCCGGATGTAGATAGCGTTCCGGTCGTTCTCCACCCTCGCCAGTATTTGAACGGGCTTGAATACGGTTCATTGCTATGGCCAATGCTTCATGCGTCTCGGCTGATATGCTACCCAGGCTCATTGCACCTGTGAAGATTGGGACAGGAATAGAAACATGTATAACTTTTAATAGTGACAGTGCATCATTATGTGACAAGTGGTTGATTTTTCCAGCATCGAATTGATTCAGCACAGAATTGGATGAAAGCTCTGGTGAATATGAATTGGTAATGTCTAGAAAGAAGGCGAGAAATCAATTTCACGGCATGTCACATCCCCCGGGAAACAAAATAATTGAAACCGCCACCGTTGCGGATAGCTAGTTTCTTTTTTTAATTTGAAAATATTGTACTTCAAAAGCTTTCGTTTTGCATATAAATACAAAAAAGGGTAAAGTCAGCCGCGAAAACCATCAATTTATGCTGCCATAAAATAAAAAGACCAGGAAATGGATTTTCTATCCTTACAAACGATAACGAGTGGGTGCTATGTCCCGTTGGAAGTGGATAGATGAGCACGCAGTGAACCAAGAGGTACTTTTATGGCAGTAGGCACACACGCGACCGGTCCGTAAGTCGGTGAGCAAGTAAAAAAGGGCAACACGTAGGAAGGCAGGAGGACAGACAAATGTCTCAAGCGTCCCACGACATCCTACTGCCATCCATCTGGCATTCAAACAGCGCAGATAGTTCAATACTAACACCTGATTGGCTAGAGTCAGTCTTTAGTCTTTAGTATTGAGGGCAGAGGGCGGGATACCCGAGTGGGTCGTAGGTCCGATCATCCCTCCATAGCCCATCGAGGTGCTCATCCAGACATCGCTTGAAAGCAGCGTCGGTCTCCTCCTCTACTACAGTCGCTGGAAGGGAATTTCAGAGAGTCGATGACCTCCGCGAGAGGGGGTAGACTAACGGAAGACCAAACGTGAGAGAGTGCCCCCGCATGCGTTTCTCCCTTTGTAGTGGAAAATGCTGCTGCAGCTCCGGGCCTACATCCTTCCTCGTGATCTTCCTCAGACAGATCAGGTCTATCCTGATGCACCGATACGCAACTGCGAATAGACCAGTAGCCTGTTAACGACCTTCATAGGTGGTTCCACGTAGTCCAACAACGAGTCTAGTGGCAGCACGTTGTACATCCTGCAATTTTGTCAGTTCACCGGCCGTGCAGGGGTATGTCGCAGCTCTACCATACTCAAGTCTCGGTCTGACGTGGGAAACGTAGCACAGTCTAAAAACGTCCATCGTAAGTCGACTGAAAAATCTCAAAGCGTGTTCCAGAATGCTTCCTGCATTGGCGTAGACCTTGTCAGTGTTCTCTCCGGTCTTCAGCGATGACGTCATCATAACTACCAGGCCTATTTCGCACGATATTCTGCACAACGTGATTCATTGGAAGCTGTAAACCATCTCCGAATCAGCAAGTTTAGTGGTATTGACTCGAAGGGGCCATGCGTCCGCCCATTGAGCCAGGGTACTCAGATCTTTTTGTAGAGTATTCCGATCATCTGAACTCTCGATTGTACGCGAGATTTTTGTCATCCACTTACAGGAGTGGTGGGCTACGCAGTTGACCGGGTAAGTCATTGACACAAACCACGAACAGGAGCGGAGCAAAAACAGAGCCTTTGAGGATCACAGTGGAGGTGAGATACCACGTAGATAGCGACCAGGCGACACGGACGCAGAATTTCTTGTCGGTAGGGAAGTCTTGCAGCCATTTCAGCATGGTCTCACCTACGCCAAAGCTGGGGTCACAGTTTACATGAAGTGAGTACGTGCGTGGTGTGTGCTAGCTGACAGCATCAATCAATCAGTCAATCGATCTGGCCACAGACATGCACTGCAAACGTGTCAGATAGTTGTAGGGCAGAACATCACTTCCCATTCCACAAAAAGGTAGGGGATAAGTATTTCACGGAAGAAGGAAAACTGAAAACAGAATACGATTTTAAATGTTCGTTTTGGCATGTACGAAACACGTTGCACCAGACTGTGGGTCACAACAGTTAGTAAGTAATTAAAATGCGATGAAAATGTTTGTGATAACCTACGAAAAGCACTGGACAGCTGTTTCGTTCTGTTTGGGGCTCGTCAACAATACATACTTTTTGTCTCCCTGTCAGGTAGGATTGCAACCGCACTCCTTCGGGTTGGAACTTCAAACCCCTAACCTTGAGCTACACGGTCGACGGATATCAGCTTGTGCGAATGGCTCAATCAATTTAGATGGTGAATGTTCGGATTAGCCCATTCGGTTCTTCACAGGCACCAGGCACTGTTGATGATGTTAGTTGTGGGTTTCACGCCCGAATAATCGCGGTTCGAGTCCTGACAAGGACATAGAAAGTAAATACTGCTGACGAGTCCAAACAGGACGAAACAACTGTCCAGTGCTCTTTGTTGGTTATCACAAACA